CATTTTAAAAAAGTAAATCAGAGCTAAAAAAGTGCAAAAACGCAGGCAAATTTGCCTGCGTTGGTTTACATATTAAGAGATAACTATTAGTCTCATCAATATCAAATAACTCTGATAGCTCAGATTTTGTGATATACTTTATTATATATTTAGCAAAGCCAGTAGAGATAATATATTGAAAATTAATATAACCCTGTCATATCAATAAAGTTTCAGAGCTATAGAAAACTACTATTCTGTTATCTTCTTTTGTCCGACGGTATATATACCATAATGAAGTTGGGCAACAGTATGTTCTTTCAGATAAAGGTTGTAGAAAGCTTTTTAAGCACAGCTGATCATTAGGACCTTGACCACCATATCGTTGGTCGCAGCGATAAATTTGAAATAATAATACTAAGTTATATAGTTAGGCACAGTTGTGAGATCAGGGATATTAGCACAGATTACATTCAGAGAGATTAATTCAGGAATTTTGATTTCCGTGTATGCAAAACCATGGGTATGTATAGTTCCACAGTTTTGAAATTCATCATGTTCAAAAAAATGTTTCTATTTTCCTATCTAGATAAAGACAGGTTTTTCCAGAGTTTATTCTGAATATTATTGAGGTAATTATAATAAAATAAATAAGTGTAAAGTGGACAGTTAGTAGGCAATATGTCTCTATTATCAGTAGACTTTAATATTTCATATAGATGAGGCTATTTATCTTCAGCCATGGTTAAAGTATAGAAAATTTGAGGTAATCTGTATGAATTAATCATTGTATTAATTTGATATTGTTTTTGCTAGAAAAAAGGAGTGGCAGTTCTAAAGAAAGTTGGGATTGTAGTTGTAATAGATTTGTCTATTATGGTTTGATTCTGATAAGAGCTACTAGCAATTAGATTGGCTCTTGTCGGGTGAGATTCATGGTTAATATTTCTAGTAGCTAATATACGATGTTGATTTTGATAATTTCTTTTTTTTTCTAAATTAAGGTAAGACCAATGAGGCCAATACCAATATAAATAGAACCTGGGATTGGGACAAAAAAGTCATAACTTTAAATATTTTCCATAGGTATCGATGGAGAGTTGAAAATTTAGAAGGCATTTTATGTCTTCATAGTGTCCTTAACCATTAGAAAATAGGTCAGAGAACATTAAGACTTCTAGGTTTGGATCATTAAATGTGATAGGCCTATTAAAATTGATATTACAATTAAAAGATTTAGCTAGTAGTCTTGAATACCATACAGTAGAGGCCTGCATTGGGTCCCAAAGCCCGGCCCGGTGTGCGGGCCCGGGTGGGCCTAAAAAAAATTTTTATAATTGCAGGCTGGGCTGGGCCGAAATTTTGAAAAAATTTATATTAAAAATTTGCAGGCCGGGCCAAAACGGGCTGGGCTTGACAAAAAATTTTTAACTGTGAGCGGGCCCAGGACGGCAAAAAAATTTGTAACCATAATTGCAGGCCGGGCCTGGGCTTTAAAATTAAAAATTTGCAGGCCTCTACCGTACAGCACTGTTTATAGTATCCAGTGTGATACAATTTTTTACATAGTGAAAAATTAAAAATCACGTGCATTATACAATTGTTCACATTATATGTTACATATAAATAATATTTTAAAAAATTGATCTACTTTATTTGTCACACTGGGTACTATAAACAGTGCTATATAGTAGTAAGCATCTTCATTATGAATTTCTTGTGAGAAAGAATTATTGGGAACAACTAAATCAGACAGTTAAGGTCTGTCATCAGATAAATTACTACAGTATATAAATGTAGAAGGGCCAGTAAATGGAATTAATTGTCAGGCTAAAGGTAAGAGAATATAGACAGGGTTGTTGGAGAAGGTCTAAAGATAGTGATATCTGATGCATATTGTTGAATAAGGTGGTTTTTACATTTGAGCCACTCAGATGCAGGGAGTAATAAATAATGAAACCAATTGGGTAGTTCATGCTAGTGATGCCACCAAAATTGATTTTCAAAAAAGGCCTATTTCGTCTCTATTAGAGCAAATTAAAATTTTTTATAAGAAAGAGCAAATAAAATTTATATATTTATACTCCTTATAATTTCGTCTATTCAAAAAAAGTGTCAAAAAATTTTGTCTTTTAAATAAAATAGATCAAAAACAATTTCGTCTTCAAATTTTAATTTCAGGTTTTAGAACCTGAAATAATTTTGTCGGCATGTATAGTTTATGCACATTTAAATAAGCACCAATTAGTCCAGAATATAAGTGAAGTGTTTTGTAATTATGAGATAACTGATATGTACCTCTATTCAGATAGCGATAGTTGGTGTAGCAGTTTGTACTAGCAGCTCTGCCTAAAGAACAGTTCATAAAAATAGAAGAAAGGTACTTTTTATAAATCATAGAAATGTCATAAACCTGAGATGGGATGTAAGATAGTATTGGTGGATATCTATGAGTTTTTTTATTTTTGCAGCCACTACAAACAGCAACTTTAACAATATTTCTATTGTTTATTCAAATATATATGGGAATTGAAAAAGCTTGAAGTAAGGTATATGAAGCGTTTTCATCATAATTTGTCCATCGAACTGAGGAAGACATCATGAGCATTAAGTAGTAAGTGCAAGGGATGCTAGAGTAATCAAGTAAAATTTTGGATTGAAATTTGTATACAAAATGCTGAAGGGCAGGAGTTAAGTGTTGGTATAAAAGATTAAAAAGTTCACTATATGAAGAAACAGTAGCAGATTTATTAGATATAAGAGCATTTAGTAAGTTTTGATTAATTTTGTTTCTCCAAGTATATGAAGTAAATACAGTATCTAAAGGAGGAGTGATGATAGTTTTATCAATTTTATATATTATCTCGATAAAAAAGATAAGGTGCAGGCATTGGATATTGTAAATCTTTTAAGATTTAGATATTAACAGAGGTTTAAACACTATATAATAAGTTATTGTTTGTTTGGATCTATTTAAAGAGCCATGAAGAAATTTTCGAGATTTATATAAAGTTTTTTTATTTTATTTTATATGGTGTTAACAAAATAGAAGCTGTATAAATAGAGTATAACTTTGAGAAGCAATTATAAGAAGCACTATACATTATTAGATAGGTTTGGAATAAGTACTATATGTTATAATTATTTATCTATTTATTTATTATTATTAGGTAAATAGTGAGCTTTTTTTCTTATTTTGGTCAAGGATAATGAGGTATATTTATTTTTTATATAAGTAAATTTGTTGATTTTATTTAAGATATAGATATATCTGACAATATTGAGAGGAGGTATTTAGTAAGAATCTATGGTCGATACAAATAATATTAAAGTATCAAAAATATTTTTTTTATTTATGAATCTTTATAGTGAAATTATTATAAAGAATATGTCTATTTATTTATTGAAAAATAAGATTTAATTTATACTAATACATATATGATATTTTAAAAAAATAATAGATTTATTATAATCTATATAATCTAGAAAAAGGTCTAGTGCATATATTTATTAAAATTGGCCTGTTATATATCGCAATATGGTGAGTGAATAATATTTTTAGTAGTAAGGTATAGTAGTCTAAATTGATTACTAACTGTTAATTATGTGATACATATTTGATGATCCCTATTTTGGATATGTAAGAATGGTACATTATGATTTTAATATGAATAAATATAGTGTTAAAATAGATATAATGCTACTAATAGAAGGTATTTAGTAAAATCCGCAATTTAGTGTGAGTAAAATTTTTTTTAATATGTAATAGAATCATTATAAGATGATATATATAATTATTGAAAGCAGCAAAATTTAATTTTATGCTAATATATGATATAATTCTTTTTTTAAGAAGTAAGTTTATTGCAATTCAGAAAAAGTATTTAATACAGAAAGATATTAATTGGAGCATGTAAAGTTTTTTAAAGAAAATTAGAAAAAAGTTATATGATAATATATGAAATCTACTTTTTTGTAGATTTTGAACATTTAGTACCTTTACGTTAAGAAGTAGATAGATTGGTAGAAATAGGCGTAATTGATTTAATATTATTAGTAGATATAATATTAGCATCTTTCTCAATATTAGCATCAGATAGAGTAATATATTTTGTGTTTTTAGGCGTAGGATCTACATTGGTAGGTCCTGAATGACGTTCATTGCAACAAATTTGTGAAATGGCATCCACAAAATTAACAGACATTTGCTTTTCATTCGATGTTTTTCTACCAAACAATGGAAGTGAGATGAGCTTTGGTTTTTTCTGAAAAGGCTAGGAGGAAAGAGTAGCATATTTCTCTTCAATACTATCTAACTAGTTATCTAATTCTTCATGAGATTTCAGTTTGTCTTTGCTTGAAGTATCTGAATCAATGTTTTAATATTCAATTTGGTTTAATATGCGGAAAAGGTTGATAATTTTTTTTGTAAACATATAATAAACCTCAAAAAAGACACACAATATGTTGATTGATGATATATCCGAAATTTCAAGAAAATATGTTTGCAGAATAAAGTTTCAATTTGCAAAATGCATATTCCAATATAGATTTTAAATACTAACCTGATATTGTAATAATTCACTACCTAAATAAGTTCACTCAATATCAGAAGCGATGATATGTATAATTTTTGATGATCCAATCTTTACTCTTCCTATAACTAATAAACCTGTTTTTTGTAGATTATTTTTTATAGCAGTATAATATTTACTCTTAGTTGAGTATGAGATAATGATATTAGAATAAACATGCTTGTTATTAGTAATGCTATTGTATAAGCACTTTGAGAGCATAAAACTTTCTTTTCCTCTATTAGTGGCAGGATAATAAGAACCTTGTATGATAGGGGTAGAAAAGAGAAGCAGAGGCAATGAGTGAGGAAGATCAGAAGGAGTCAGAATATACTTGCTAGAAAATGATATGGGTACAGTCTGGACTAAGGAGATCTGATAAAAATAAAGATAGTTAGCTAATTAGCTCATTGTACATTATTATAACAATAGAAGATAACAGTAATATTTTATTTATACATATTCTGTATCTCCTTCATATATACAGTGCCTAATAAAAGTTTCCCCACACCTATATCTCCTCATAAAAAGGTGCTATGACCTTGAAAATTTCAAAATAGTTAGTACATACACAGATTAGATTGTGTATATCGTTTGAAGATTTTTTAATCACTAGAAATAAAATTAGATAAGAGCTAAAGTTGGGATATTTTTTGTTCAAAAAATAATTGTATTCAAGAAAATTTTAAAATATCGTCAAGGCTTAAAGCTAAAATTTCTAAAAATTAATAGATTAAACGTAAATGATTTCTGTATTAGTGACAAAAAATTTGACTCAATTTGATGAGATAATTATTGAGAAATTAATTTTTAAAATTTTGAGCTTTATTTTAATTTGTTGAGACCTGACTCTTTTTGTATTGCATAATGTTTTTTACGAATATCTCATGTTTTAACAATTCAAATTTGATGATTTTGCTATCATTCGAATTGTCTCATCAAGATAATTATAAAAATCATCAAATTTGATTTACTAGATATCAAGATATTTTTGATTAAAAAATTTTACTTTGTAATTTTTAAAAATGAAACTCAAATTTTAAAAAATTAATTTTTCAATGATTATCTCATCAAATTTTTTATCACTAATATGGAAATCATTGAATTTTAACATGCTAATTTTTGGAATTTTTAGCTTTAAGCTAGTGTTCCTATGAACCTGAACTGAACTGAACTTTGGTCAAGTTCAGGTTCAGGTTCAGTTCAATCAGGTTCAGTAT